GGAACTCTCGAAGGCTTTCTTTAAGTCTTCTCGTGGCTTCAGAACTTTTAACATTTAGATTGCTCGCAAAAGCTATTGCAGCCCAATTATCTGGTACACGGGGTAAAGTCATTCGTTCGCGTTGGAACCTATCAACAAAATCTCTGAGCAACTCTGTATCCCCTTGTTTGATTTTAAAGATGTCCTCCATTCTTTTTTCAACCTTTTGTGCTCCTGAGTGTGCCTTAATGAAAGAATCTGCAAGCTCAGCAAAAGAGTTTATAGAGTTTTCAGGCAAAAGAGAATACCAGGTTAGTGCACCCTTGGTGAGTGTTTCACCAAATTTTTTGACCAACACGGACTCAATCTCCTGCTTGGTTAAATCATTTCCTTTGACCCCTGTAGTAAATGCTGTCACATGGTCACGTGGATCGGTTGTGCCGTCATATTTTGAAATGTCAGGCATTTTGAACTTTTTAGGGGTTGAAAGGGGAGCAGTACTCGGTTTCCAAGGTTGTTGTGAATATTTATCCGCATCTATTCCTTTGATTATTGGGGGAACTCCAGGGATTTGCTCGATGCGTTCGTTTTGTTCTTTGAGCTGTGTCTGCAAAGTTAGTACCAAATTTTGTAAATAAGAATTATTTGTATTACCTGGATTCATTTCTCGTGGTTCAATGGGGGTTCCTTCGTTTGAATTAACAAGGCCAGAACGAGGATTCTCCAGCGTATTGTTATTTGGCGAAGGTGTGGACGGCGCAGCAGGTAACCGGCTAACTAGCGCTTGAAGAGCTTGGCTAACCCGTGCATCAATTATTCTTTGCAGAGCTTCTTCTGGTCCCTCAAAATGTTCTGATTGCTCTTGCTCATCAGCATGTGATTTAGGAGTGCCTTCACGAGATTGACGTGGTGAATTTTGAAGGGCAGGAACCGCGTTAAAGTTCTGCAAATCTCCTTGATCTTGATGCATTTGATTTTCACGGTTTCCCAAGGTGTTGTCACTGTTATTATTGTCATATGACATGATGATAACAACAGATAGACTGTAACTTAAAAAGAATAGATTATCAGATTCCCGGTAACGGAACCAATTTGTTTCACCAAAGAAATAATATTTTGGATAAAACTAGAATTTGAGATGAAAAATCAGGTTACTGATAATCAAGAGACCAAAATAATAATAGGCTTTCTGAGAATAATAACAAAGCAGTAAACAAAATTTCTTATTTCAGTATGATGTAAAATGATATCCTTTTCCCAATACAACTTCCTCATTTTATAGTTGATTCTAGGTAAAGGAAATAAACCTAAGTTTTAATGAGACAATTATGGACAATAAATGACATTAAATGAGCCGTTACACAATCATTCCTATTAAATACCAATTTTCTAACGTATCAGGTATTTAATACTGAATTTGGACTCCTTTTTGTCTTCAGATTCATGTCTTCAATGCCTTTCGACCCACTGGCTTTAAATGACTTCGAATTGGTACGAGACTCGTGTCTAAACTGCTTCTCGTGTCTATTTCACTTCTTCTTCCCGTACCTGTCATTTCCCGTACCTTTTTCCCAATTGTTACGCTTTGACCACTTGTCCAGTCCACGTGTCACGCCACGTCATCTTCAATATAAATTCAACTTTTTTCCCAATACACCACCAATATAAGGAAAAGGCTAGGGACACATTGATGAGTTTGATTTGCTTCAAATTATTTAAATTTAGTTTCGTCATAATTTCCAAGGACCAAAAGACAAAATACAACCATTTGATCAAATCTGAAGTAGAAAATGGAGCTTCCAGAGCTACTAGTAATTCATCCACCTCCAGTATTCATCATCCACCAACAACAATTCTCCCAAAAATTCAAACTTCTCAAAGCTTACGAATCTCCACTCTCCACAGAGCTCTTCCTACAGGCCCACGCTCAGTCCACTAAGGCACTCATCTGCTATGGCAAGAGCCCAATCACTAGCGACATACTCCGCCGTCTTCCTTCTCTTCAGCTCGTCGTCACTGGCTTCAACCATATCGATCTCCCTGAGTGCCGTCGCCGATGTATCGCCGTTGCTAATACCGCTGATGTCTTTTCTGAGGATACTGCTGATATTGGTGTCGGTTTGTTGATTGACCTACTTCGGAAAATTAGCTCCGGTGATCGGTTTGTTCGCTCTGGAATTTGGCCTAAAAGTATTCGGTACCCTTTGGGCTCCAGGGTATACTTTTGATCCTCGCTTACCTTTCAAATTGAAAATATTCATTTTCACCATAGCTAAATTAATAGTAGTAACTTTATTAGGTCCAATTTTAATATTGATGTTCTCTTGAATCCCCTTTTGATATTTGCTCATTTGCAGTTGGGAGGTAAGCATGTGGGAATAGTTGGTTTAGGCAACATTGGTCTAAAAGTTGCAAAAAGGCTAGAGGCATTTGGCTGCAAAATTTCATACAACTCTAGGCAAAAGAAACCAGTTCACTACAACTTCTACCCAAACGTCTGTGAACTTGCATTCAACTGTAACATCCTCGTCATATGCTGTACATTAACTCTCGAAACTCGCCACATGATTGACAAGGATGTTCTAAAAGCATTGGGAAAGGATGGCATTCTCATCAACATTGCTCGTGGACCTATTGTTGATGAGAAAGAACTGGTGAAGTTCTTGGTTGATGGTGAGATTGCAGGTGCTGGTTTGGATGTGTTTGAGAATGAACCTAAGGTTCCTCAAGAGTTAATTGAATTGGATAATGTTGTTCTTACACCACATAGAGCTGCTTTCACTAAGGAAGCATTTCGCGATGCTTTCCAACTTGTTCTGGCTAACTTAGAAGCATTTTTCTTGAATAAACCATTGATTTCCCCGGTCATAGATTAATGAATAGAGAACTAGAACTGGGTGTTTTCAGGTTCAGATTTGACCTCTTGTCAATTCATCACAAAGTATGCATGTATAACATTGAATAATTAATTTACCTCCATATAAAATGTAAGTTCTACACTGGTTCCTTCAGCAACTATCATTCTCCTGATCAATTACTATAGTTATGATCCACGAATCTAGAGGGCCAGCATACAAATCAAGTTACCATTGCAACAATTCCATGCCTAAATAATACGCAACATAAATATGTACCACAGAATTCTAGGAGAATGTTCTTTACATACAAAAATAGACACCTAGATGATGATCAAAAGCACCTAATTCCTAAATACATTTAGGTGAAAGCAAAAACGAGAAGAGAGACAAAAAACGAACTTAATAACGAATTTACATCCAAAAGGGCATTCTTATAAATATGGGACAGTTTCCTTGAGGAAAAAGGCAAAATCAGCTAGGTATATAGGGTTCAAAGAGCTTGACACAGGGGTTCGGGTCACACTGCATTATTTCAGCAGCACGTTCGAATTCTTCCCTCAGTACTCTTATGCTGAACTTGTCTACCACCCTACCAAGATCATGAGAAACCTCAAAAGGATCCTCAATGCATATCAGATGGCGGTCGTTCCCAATCCTCCTAGTCCAGTCTTTGGCTCGCTTGCTGTACATAACGATACAGGAAGAGTAGTAAGCAACCCAAAACAGAACCACTATATGACTAATGCCATTTCATTTTGAAGATCTTCAGAAAACAAATAATCAACAAGAACAAGACAGTTGTGTAGCTGCAATGACCTACCTCAATATGCTTCCAGTACGAACAGAAATAACATCATTTGCATAATCATGACAATAGGCCCAGTAGTTGAAGAATGCCCACACTAACCGAGCAAGACTTTCCCCATTGTGGGATCCAAAACCACAAAGCTTTTCCACTTTATCAAAGTAAGCACATTCAATGTTGTCAACGGTAACAGAGTAGGTTGGCTGCATTCCCTGATAAGCGAATAGGGGAAATGAAAATGAAAAAAGAATAACTATCTTCATATAAAGTAACACATAGATAGAAGTCCCCTTCCAATTACATATTTGCCTGAATAACACCCTCCCCCCTCCCCTCTAGATTTAAGTTTTTTGGTTTCTCTTATGAGTTAAGAAATATATAGCAGGAATAGATCAAAGACAGGACTAGGGGTGGCAAACGGGCAGGTTACAGGTGATGCCAAAAACGGATTTAAAAAAATCCGACCCGCCATATTTAATACGGATAGAAAATGGGTTATCCAGTAGATAATATGAATATCCATATTATCCATAGCTTCTTAAATATGATCACTTCTGGGAGGATTCCTAGTCTCCCAAATTTGAGGAACCGCCAAATTGAGTTTTTGCAAATGTAAAAGTTAAACACATTGGTTATCCATTTTTTAAGTGGATAATATGGATCTTATCCATATTTGACCCATTTTAAAAGTTCATTATCCAGTCCATTTTTTAGAGGATAATATGGATGGTTAATTATCTTTTTAATCCATTTTGCCACCACTAGACAAGACCTTGATATCCCAACCAGTTTGCAAGCCCGAGAAGTAACACATGTAAAGGGTAAATATTCCAACGCAAAGACATGACACATTATCGTTCCAAATTATCGGAGTTATGACAAATTAATAAATTGATTAACTTTTTTCAAAAGAAACTGATGAACCAAATGAAAGTAAATGAACTACACATAATTTGTAGACAGGAAAAAAAGGAAGGAAAACAACATGCATGTTTCATATTACTTTATGGTAAATGTTAAAGCAAATTGCTCATTCTTTTCATTTGCCCATGTGCATAAAACATTTACAGTCCTTTTTTTTCCAGAAGGAATCATTTAAGTTCTTTCTTGATCATACTTTTTAAATCCTACCTTTTAGAATAGAGGACAGAATCTTGCTGTCTTTTGATGAGAGGGTAAATTAACTAGTGCAAGATGCTGAGAATTTTAAGGCATGAACACCCACAGCTCGTAAGTTCCAAATGCATCCATGCGGACAATCATACAGGGAAAACCAAGAAGAAACAGTTTTGTTCTTCACGGAAAACTATACATGCTTAACTGAAGGAGCACGTGAAGGAAAGAAGAGTCAAACAACTATTAATTTGCAGAGTCAGTGTCTAGAGGAAAAGATTTACAATCAGAAGCGGAGCTAGTATTCCAAGTTTATGGGTTCGGGATTCTAGTTTTTTAATTTACTGGGTTCCAAGTTAATAACTTGTACATATTCAATGAATTTCATAAAATAAATACAGAATTTAAACCAAAGTTAGTAGGTTCGACCGAACCCATGAACAACACACTAGCTCCACCCCTGATTTCAATTGATGAGGAAAGTCATTCACACTCAACCAAACAACACATAGTTCGCACATCCTTGCAGTGATGGCTTACTGACAAACAGTTCAGGTAGTTTAAAAATCTTACAAGTTTCACACGCAAGGCATATATCATAGCACAGGAGCTAAAGAAAACACACCTGTAGGCATGGAAGGATGGCAGGTCTTCGCTGCTGTAGAAAGTGAATGCACATTAGCACATACCTGGAAGAAGAAAATAAAAGTTAGCCTACTGTACAAGAGAATGAGAGAGGAAAAGAAAATAATTGAGAAAATGTAGGCTTACGCATAGCTAGATAATGTCCCCTGGTAAGTTACATTTACCCCTCTCGACTTAGCCCAGTGTTTGACGATAAATGCCAACTGCCTTAATCGCACATCTATGTGTGCATAATCTCGAAGCAGCTTTGTGTTAACAACAGCCAAAACATTATTCACACATATATCACATGATATCCCAGTTTCTGGATCCATAAGCTTGACTATAGGCACCCTAGCACGCGTTAGCGCCTGTACGGGAACTTAGTTAGAAACCATATTGAGATGTGTATTACAAGAAGATTAGCCAGATAACAAAGATGAACACGCCCCATAGGGGAAGTGTACCACACAACCTAAGGACTTCATAACAAATCAGAAGCACATAAGATTCTAGATCCACTCTGGATTGAAGTAGCGAACAAGGCAAGTGGACTTGTCCAGCCCACACAACACATTGTTCTCCACTTGATGAATAGAACCTGCCTCAACCGGGATAATTCATGGCCAGGGTTATTAAAAGCAAGCGCTTCTCGCTTAAAGCGCTGAAGCGAGGCGGGGCGCAAGGTTTGCGCTTTTCTGACCTAAAGCAAGGCATCTGAAAAAAAGCGAGCGCTTCAGGGAAAAAAGCGAGAAGTGGGGCGAGGAAAAAAAGTGAGAAAAGCTCGCTTAAGTGAAGTCCAGCGTCTGCCTAGGGTTTTTTCTAAAAAAAATAGCAAATACACTTACGCACCTTTCTTCCAAAACATTTCTCGCTACTGCTACAAACCAAAACATCCTGCGACATCTCTTCTTCAGTTCTTTTCTTATTCTCTCAAGGTAAGTTTCTCTTCTCTTCTCTTCCTCTTCTGCTTTTCTCTGGTTTACCTGCTTTCTCTCGACTCCTCTCTTCGTTTCTCTTCTTCTTTTCTATTTTTTTCAGTTCTTCTTTTCTCTGTTCTGCCCCGTTTTCTAGTTATGCTATTGCTCTGTTTTTTTTAAAAAACTGCTGTTTAGTGGTTCTGCCCTGTTCTACCAGTTCTGTTTTTGTTTTTTTGGTGATTGTAGTAAATTCTATCTCATTATCCAATGGCATCAAGCCAAAATAAAGATCCAGCTTGGGCGTATGGAGTTGCAATTGGCAATTGTAGCACAAAAGTCCATTGTTATTTTAAGAATTGAAACAATTGCTTAATATGTTATTTTTATTGAGTTCTTGGTCATTTATCAATGCCAATTTAATATTTTTTATTTATGTATTAAATTGCACTTCACATGAAAAAAGCGCGCGCTTCGCTTTCCGCTTCTTGCTTCAGTGAAGCAAGGTCTCCTTGCTTTTTTCCGCTTCTCGCTCTCCAACACACTGGTCATGGCCTTCAAGCGGAACTGTCTTGTGGCCCAAAAAATAGGTCGGATCCACATTGAAGTTTTCACATTGACCTCTATATATGGTTGAATTTTCAATTGTTTCGAGAAATGCACTCGTAAATTGAAAGGATCATCAAACTACCCAAGCACAGCTTTGGTAGCTAGATCTCGGACGAATACACCCAAAAAAAAAACGTAAAACCAACACGCAACTCGCAAGCACAAAATTATGCCAGTCTAAAGTTTCAATCTTCCACCCCCCAATATTTAGCCAATATTTACATATCCATTGAGTGTCATTGTTCTGAAGTCAAAAGTAATGAGAGTGAAATGATAATATAATTTAGTTGTAGACTCATAAAAAAACATAATTTTAGTTTACAGATTCAAGAAAGTTCTAATTCAGACGATAATTTAAACAACTTATTGAATGAATCGTTCATTATTTTTCACCTATAGATTCAATCAGTCTCAATCCTAAAGCAGTTGAAATTAGCTATATGAATACCGCATATGACTTCTGCCTGTTCATGTATTATGTTTTTGAAATGAAATTAATCGTTCTATAAAACTAGAAACTTAAATTTGTCCTTGTATATCCTTCATTCTCTCCAAGATCTATAGGGTTACGGAGTTTTTTTTTTTACACAGTTGTGTCCAATTTTCTTTCTTTTTTTTTTTTGAGAGGGCAATTTTCTTTTATTTTCTTCAGTTTGCAATATGCAAAACCATAAATAACAAATTAAATAAAATAAAAAGCAGCCTTGGACAGACCCCCCTGGCAAATCTTGGATTGGTCCTCCCTCCCTTTTGGCTGAGACCAACCCTAGCACCCTCCAAACCCCTCTTTAGAGGCCAGTCTGGCCCGTGTTGTACCCTTCATCAGTATCTGGATAGTGCATAAATGAACATCAGTAGATGTGTACTAAGATTTTTGGAATACCTGCACATCCTGGAGATTGTCCGATTGCAACATGTCAGCCAACTTCAACAATACCTCTGATTTGTCAATATTTGCATCCTCAATTGCAAGGCAAATATCAATATCGCTCTTCGAGAAACCAAAAGAATTGGCACAAGATCCATAAACATAGAGCCGAGCACCAGGCCATTCCTTGCTAACAATTTTATCCAAAAGTGCTAATAACTGCTTCTGCTTTGCCTTTTCTTCTTCTGGAGGTATTAAGGACTCATATATAGCTAGCAAAGCAGCATTCATCCTATTAATGTCACTCCGACATGCAATCTGTCTTTTCAACATTCTCATCCTCTGGCCGAGTATAAATTCTCCTCTCTTATCTGATCGGTAGTCCTGATGAAAGCAGCACAAAAGTGAGTCGCCAACACTAAATTTGGCTTCAAGACGGATATGAGAAAGGGTAGAGATATTAACTGTTCTTTCTTAAAAGGGAGAGAGATTAACTGGTTTATTTCGTCTTTATGAGATATTAGTGATTTACTTCCGATTGTTTTGCAATTGGAAGAAAGTAAAAATATCATGCTTCCTTTTTTGCATCTAATTTTAAATGGATTGAAAGATCTGAAAAAAAGGGAAGCCCTCAGCCCCTTTTTTGCTTTCTTAACAAACAAGGGAAATGATACATACCCCTCCACTTTCGCTCCAGCTCCTCTTTACCCCAATCAATCATTGCTAAAATCTTTGGAACATTGTAGCAGAGACACCAATAGAACACAATATGCTAGAGAAGTAGAATACAGTTACACAATTTTATAGAGACTAGCGCGTGTACCCCATATTAATGAGAAAAATCTTTTTTAAAAACAATCAACATGCATAATATTTAAAAAAAAGTGTTTGAGTTATAAAATAAAAATTAAAGACTAAAAAATCATAAAAATGATAAATATTAATCTTGTTTAGGGTTTCATGTCCCCTCTAGTGATTGTTTTCTTCAGTTCGCTCCTGTATTTGTTTCTGATCTTGTTAACTCAGTAAGAACTAAAGAGCGACTGTCATAATTTCTTTCTTTCTTTGTTCTACTGTACTTTAAGTTATTTAGTTTACCGAATTATTTTTTAATTTCTCAAGTCGAATGAATGAAAAAAATAAAGAAAAATAATTGACAACTCATTTAGAATAAGCTTTGTCTTTTACTGTCTCGGCCTCTCTTTTTTTTTTTCCTTCAAATTTGCAATTTAATGCCAACCAACTCTTATAATATACTATATCGAATTTTGTCTATTTTCTTACTTCTTCCACTATCCAAGCTCTTTTTATTTGGAATAAAAATGAACCTTTTTATTCCCAAATCTCTCAACGACCAAAAGATTTAATTTATAATTTGTGTTATTGATAATCTTTCAAGAATTATGATTATATATATCAAAAATCCAATGGGAAATAGCTATCATGATATCTCATGAAAATAACAAGAACATAATTTCAGTTCAAATGAATGTTACTCGCTAGTTTCTTTCTATAATTTTTTTAAATTTAACGGATTAACTATCCTACTCCCTATGAGGTAGGGGTAAGGTCTGCATACACACTACCCTCCTCAGACCCCACTTGTGGGATTTTACTAGGTTGTTGTTGTTGTTGTTAACGGATTAACTATATGATAGTTACTAAGTATTTACCGAGCATGTGGAAGTTCTTTATTAAGAGTTATAAAGTCTATTACTTTCAATTAAGCATTTTATTATGCTTGACAGATTCAAAACCAAAAAAATAAGAAGATAAAAAACTAATTACCTCAGTTTTGACGAAGGGAAAGGAAAAATAATAATAGGAGTCCAAAATAAGCAGACGCTAATATTTTGGTTACGACTTAAATATTTTCGTTCATAAAGATTACTGAAGTAAAACTTTTAATTAATCAAACTTCGACATGATGGAACGAATTATGCTATGGTATATAGTTCAAATAAATACACGTTTTATATAGGTAAAATTTTAATCGATTTTTCAAAGTATTAAATATTGGTATTTTAAACATTAATAAGTAAAATATTATAGTTAATTTTGAAATCCTAAATCTTAGCAAGTTAATCAAATGACAATTTTGTCATGTGAAATATATTTTAAAAGGCAAAAAAAGGTGAATGATATTTGCTAAGGGGCTTCGTGCTTTTAATTTAGTATAGATATAAATAGATAACTTAAATTCTTATAAATAATGTGTTTGTGTTATAAAATAAAATAAAAAAATAAGTTCCTAAAAAGGATGAAAATTAATCCCATTTAGGTAGCTTAATGTAGGAAGAAATCTTGTCTCATAAAGGTATATTATTGTGGTATGTGAGAATATTTTTTGAAAAATTATTGTTATATTCAACTATAATTATAATTTATTGTGAGAATATTTTTTGAAAATTTTTTGTTATTTTCAATTTACTAGTATTATAAAAAAAATTGTTGATTTAAAGTTTAATATAAGCTCAGCCCAAAATTTAAATAAGGAAATAATTTAATATATAATATTTAGTTGAACCGCATCGAATAACTATTACTGAGATTTGATCAGCAAAATAAATCATATCGAACCTCAGTTTTAGAAAAAATCATGTAGTTGGTGTGATCAGTACTCTCGAAAGAAATTTCAAAAGCTTGACTCTTAACAAGACGGGTTCGAGCCATGGAAATAACCTCTTGCAGAAATGCAGAGTAAGGTTGCGTACAATAGACCCTTGTGGTCCGGCCCTCCGTATAGCGGGAGCTTAGAGCACCGGGCTGCCCTTTCTTCTTTTTTTTTTCACTCTTAACAAGGTAACTATAATCTTTTTTTTCTTTCATTTTCTTCACTTCTACAAAGATTAATGATTTCATCTGACAAGAACTATTATTTCTTGATGTATGTTCATGTATATTTGCATATTGTGGAATTCATACATGATTCAATAGTTTTTAATGTTCATGTAATTACGTTTTGTATATGTATATCAGATAATATTTGAATCCAAATCATGTCAATCAACTTCAGCTTTAATAATATTCCCTATTAATCATAGGCTACAGTAACAATTAGATTTAGGAATATTTATTAAGCTCTTTTGATGTGGTGTAAGTTTGACTATATGAATAACAATTAATTTTAAAATCCTAAGTATTAGGACTTCCTAACCTAGTTCAATAAGGAAATATTTAAGAACCAAATTTTAATTGATTGTAAAATCCTAAATATTAGGGAAGTAGCATAAATTACCTATTTGTCTAATGTGAGAGCTGCTTTTAAAGGGATAAAAAAGGCGAACAACATTTCGCTAAGGAGCTTCGTGCTTTTAATACAATATAGATATAGATACAGATTGTGCAAGAGACATCCAGACAGTCCAATTTACCAGATTTTAGGATGGAAAAAGAAAATAATCAGAGACAAGGAAAGTATTCCTTGACTTGCCAAAAAAAAACGGGAAGTACTTATGATGTTCGATCCGCTTTGAAAAGATGCGTGGGTGAAAAAGCTAGATATTTTTCTTCTACAATTTGTCATTTTCTAGCTTTCGACAATACGCTGGTCAGAATTGTCTTCGATAAAGCATATATATTTTGATGCATTGACAAATAGGGGCAATGTTATCCGCAAAGTCAATTTTTCACATCTCAACTGATGTGCTTCATTTCAGATTAAAACTCCACAAGACTAGTATACCAACCATCCTGAAACTCTAATTTATGTCAAGTTAGCTCGACATAATGATCCATGTTGTACCACCCAAAATCAATTTGAATTTCCAGGTAAATATTTTTTTGCTCCCAAGGACTTTGATTCAAATTGTGAAAGCAGAAACTGAAGAGGATTTTTATTACTAGCATTTAACATACATCTCTATATGCAATGAGTTAGCAACTCAGCTAGTCAGTGCATATGGTTGCTCACAGTCGAGGCTATCAGCCTCGCATATATGTGCTGCGAAAGCCAGATAACATGTCAATTAGTTATACAAAATCCAGTCATTGCATGGGAAGGAAATCAATAAGGTGTATTACGACTATAAGAATTACATCAGAAATTGTTAGACATTATACTACAAAAGAAAAAGAGGTACTTGAAACAAATTTTCTTTTACAAATATAAACTGTGAAGAGGTAATCTTAAATCCTAATTTGCTGATGAAACTTTTAGCATACATAAGGGCACAAGACCATGCATTGTAAGCTACGAATATTTTCAGTGCATGTATTTATTTCCATTGTATATTAACTATTCAATTTCTTTAAACCACTGTAACACACAAGGAAGGCTAAATAATGACTAAGGAGGCACATTACCAAATCCAGCACATTAAATCTGAATAAATGAGGGTACTAAATACCTTATCACGAGAGCCATGATGTTTCTTTTTATCACTTCTCTCATTTGATTCATCCTCGAGTCCAAGAGAACTGATAAGCTGTTCTCCCAAATCATCCAATTCACTTTGACCTCGAGCGGAACCTCTACCTAGCTTATCCCTCATCCCACTGCCAGTTTCTTCTCCACTCTCAGCTTCCTCACCATGTAATTCCAACATAGAATCCTCAACATCAGAAGCCAAAACAGAATGAAGTTTACTTCCTACCGGTGGGCCAGGCGAGTCCAGCTGACGAAAAATGCCTCGACCATCCGAAACAATTGCATAATTCTTATCATTCCTGGGAAAATACTTACTTTCCCTTTCATTCTTATTATTCAAGCCAATAACCCTATGGTTCGACTCAACGAAATTGCTCTTCTCCTTATCCACATTATGCTCAAAGCCCATGCTCCTCGCTTTGCCCGAAAAACCTGGTGGTGGCACCACCCCTCTTACACCCCCACTCTGAAACTGTCTTCCCCACCCCAAACCCCCACTCTCACCCCCACCTCCACCACTAGTACTATTCTGTTGCTCAAGACCCCTCAAATTTCCCAAACTCTCGTGCTGTTTTCGACCCGAACCAATAACATTGTCAAGCTTACCCTCCACACCATTCAACATCCTAACATTCCCTAATCTTGATTCTTGGCTTTTCTGTGCAAAGTTACCAACTTTACCAGCTAATTCACCATTGAGACGATTATTTAGTATACCCAAATCGCCTCGAATATCTCTACGTAACGAACCAAAGGTCAAATTTTGATCTAGCTCAGGAGTTGACTTATAGGGCTTAGCATTACCACCGAAAATTCCCAAATTGCCCATGTTTTCCCCTACTGATCCAAATCCAAGTGGACCACCAGCATGTTGAATTTGACTGAACCCACTTGAGTGGGCAGGAGGAGATGAGAAATTAGGGTTAAGGTTATGGCTAGGATTAGGGTTTTGGAGAAACCCTTGAATAAAGAAATTATGGGGTACAAAGAGAGGAGGAGAGTGAGAATAGGGCAACTGCGGGAAGGGTACACTGGGACCTACTGCGGCAACCGCCGGATCATGTGGCAGAGTCTGCAATTCCGGCGGCGGTTGGTGCTGAGGATGGTGGTGATGTGGACGATTCTGAAGTAATTGAAGAAGGAATTCGCCGCCGTTCGCTGCCGCTGACTGTGAGGATAGCGGCGGCGATGCGGCGTCGCCTCCTCCGCCGTTCATGGTTCAGAAACTTAGTAGCGAAAAAGTCTAATTTGAGACTTTTTTCGATCCAAAAAAAAGACCAAATCTTTACGTATTCCGTCTGTTGATTGGATTTCTCGGAAACAAAAATGTTTAGTTTAAATTATTGATACTTCATAAATATCTGGAAACTAAAAAGAGTCTTCTCCATTTTGTAGGATGGTTAGTACTCCACTACTAGACAAGGTAAAAAGAAGAAAAGAAAAGTAAAAACACCAAGAATTTTCTTTTCTTTTCAATTTTGATACCTAAAGAAATGTAAAGAATTAAGAGAACTACTATAACTGTGACAATACGTCAATCCAAACAAAATTAGAATTGGCTATTTGAATTTTTACTTCATATGTGCTTTTTATTAAATTTAAAAGTGACAATCAAAAGTTACTTCATAATTTATAAACAATGATATCTATTGACACGAAATAATTCCTAAGACATATACTATAAATGTATGGTATTCAATTTTGTTTAAATCATTCATATAAGTCTCTTTTGTTATCTCTAAGAAAAAAGAAGAAAATAATTATTTTTTTAAAGAATACTTTATATGCACATTCACGCCTTAAAATACAACAACAACAACATACCCAATGAAATTTCACTAGTGAGATACATTCACGCTTTAAAATGGAGATTAATAAAGTGTTCTTAGAACATAACTCCACAAGATTATTCACTTAATTTAACTCTCCAAATTTAACTCTTTGAAAATAAATTATAATGATGTTTTGACTTTCTTTTTTTTTTTGACTAAAAGGAGATATAATATATTAATACTACGGAATAGCATTGGTTACATCGCCTAGATAGCAGCACGCCTCAAGGACGTTGGCATTGCCCCACTCTGCTAATTGGGCACATACAGAAGAAGCAACAGTTTTGACGAAATAAACAGAGGAAGCCCTATCAGTAGCTAGATTATTTACTACATAGGAGGGTGGTTTGTCCAAGAGTTGATAGTCGCTTCCTTTCTTCAAAGCATCCCTCGCCAGCTTGTGGGCTACCTTGTTTCCTTCCCTAAAGTTATGGATGATCCTCGGCTCCCTCAGCTGGAGCATTAACGCCCTGCATGAGTCAATCATTGATTTCATGAGTAATGCAGCCATTGTTTAAAAGATTTATTACCTGTGTGGCATCTGTTTCCACGATCAAAGGAGTGAGATCCCTTATTAGGGCAATTTTGAGACCCTCCTTGAGAGCTTGAAGTTCAGCTTGAAATGAAGAGTTAGCTGGGCATCTGTGTTGAAAGCCTATTAACCATTGTCCATTGTGGTCCCTAATTAGACCTCCTAACCCTCCTACTTTTTCTTTGTCATTAAAGGCCCTGTCAATATTTAGTTTGTAGTTTTTGGGAGGGGATTATGCCAAGCTATCCTAATTGCATGGGAAGGAACAATTATTTTTTCCTTTTCAGTTACTAGATGGTACTTTGTTGCTAGGACTATAGCAGTAGTTGGGTTGCGATAATAGTTGGTGTTAAGATGATTGTTGTTATTTCTATTGAGCCAAATGCTCCATAGGAGGAAAGGATAGTAATTTTTCCATGAGAGGTGGATTGAGGGAGAGATGATGTCTGTGTTGTTTCGGATTTCCAACCAATGAGATTCGTTAGGCCTTGGACTGTATTTGAAGCCATACCTATTCCAGATGTTCCTGACTGCCTTGCTGTTAAAAAAAATATGTTCCATAGATTCCTTATCATTCTTACATACTGAGCATATGGGATTTATGTTTGTGCCAATCTTGAAAAGGTAAGATCTAGTGGGTAGCTTGTTATGACGGCATTTCCATAAAAGGAATTTCATTTTGTTGGGGCATTTTAGCTCCCAAATCTAACTAAAATCCATTGGCGTTTGAGAATTAGGAATAATTATTTTGTAGCAACTTTTGGTAGAGAACTTACCATCCCCCGTTAGGTCCCAAGTCATCCTGTCAATGTGGCCTACCTTAGGTTGAAGAGATAGAATTCCGTTCGTAATGTCAGTGGGGAGAATGAAAGGAATTTTCCCTAAAGTGCACTTACCATCTATCCAAATATCTTTTATTAATAGGGTTGAGTTACTTTTTGTCAGAGGGCCCTCAATAACCTCTCTAAGTTTCAGAGCCTTGGGGATCCAATTAGCTTCCCAAATATTTAGATTAGAATTTGATCTTGGAATTCATTTTAGCCCTTTGCTACAAATGTTCCAGCCTTTAATAATACTTTTTCATATGTAAGAAGTGTTTTGAATGTTATTTCTGGAGCCATATATAGAAGTTAGTAACTTAGACCAAGGCTTGTCAGCATTATGAATTAGTCTCCAAGTGAGACTAGACAAATTGACTAAGTTTTTATGCCTAGCAGCTCGAATACCCAGCCCTCCTTGGCACTTATCTCTAGTTATTGTATCCCAGGCTACTAGATGAATTTTTTTAGTAGTTAAGGTCGATCCCCAGATGAATTTCCTTTGTAGCTTGTCAATGTGATTGAGAATTTTAATGGGGAGGAAGTTGTAATGCATATTATGGTTAGGCATACTATTTAATGTGGAACTGGCTAGAGTCACCCTTCCTGCCATACTTGGGAAGTTTGATTTCCAGGAGGCCAATTTCCTGGTCTTGTTGTCTATAATGAATTGATAATTAGAAGACTTAGGTTTGTTATTAGTGATAGGATACCCTAGATATTTTCCAAAGCTTTTACTAGTGTTGATATTGAAAAGCTAAACCAATTCTTTGGAAGTATGTTTTGGGCAGTTTCTGGACACTATCATTTTTGATTTATTGAGATTGATTTTTTGGCCAGATAATTGGCAAAAAAAGTTAAGGCATCGAAGCATGGTTGTTGGAGATTTTTTGTCAACTCTAAACATTAATGTTAAATCATCTGCATAGAAGAGATGGGATAGTTGATATTTATTACTCCCCATTGATGTAGGAGTCCAGTAGCCTAAGTCTACATAGTGATTGATATGGATGGATAATATTTCCATACATAGGATAAAAATATAAGGTGATAGAGGATCACCTTGTCTAATGCCTCTACTGGGAGTAAAGAAGTTGCTTATATTACCATTAGCAGGACAGATATTCTACTAGTAGTTATGCAACTCATAGTGAGACTAGAGATTTTAGGCAAAAATTTAAAATAACGGAGAGTCCTATAGATAAAAGACCATTCTAATCGGTCAAAAGCTTTTTCGATATCTATCTCAAGGACCATGTTTGCCTTGGTACCTAACTGTTTGTGCATTTTTAACATAAGCTCCTGGATTATGATAGCATTATCGCAAGTATATCTTCCCTTAATAAAACTTGCTTGGTGAAGACTAATTAACCTACTTAGGAAAGGCTTTAGTCTATTTGCAATAATTTTGGTAATGGTTTTATAAATGGTGTTACAAAGACCAATAGGTATAAAAAATTTCAGATTGTTAGCATTGGGGATTTTTGGGATAAGGCATAGGTAGGTGTTATTTATGCCCCCAGGGGGGTTTCCAAAGTCGAAGGACTGGCAGCAAAGGTGTATTACTGAAGATTTGAGAGATTGCCAGTACTTTTGAAAAAAGAAAGGGTGTAAACCATCCGGCCCCGGGGATTTGTAAGATTTGAATGAAATAATAGCGTTTTTGATTTCTACTGGGGATATATTAGTGTCAAGGGGTGATAAATCTATTTGATGACGATTAGGAGTGTCATTTCTAATGGAGGACCAATCTGAATAGTTATGACTAGTAGAGAAAATTTCTTGGAAGTAAGCAAGAGTGTGATCCATAATTTGACGAGGATCATCAATCCAGTTATCATCAGGGTCCTTGAAGTAAACAATTTTATTTCTTCTTCTATTATTAGTAGCACTAATATTGAAGAACTTTGTATTAGAGTCTCCTTCATTAAGCCAATTTGTTCTAGACCTCATTTTTCAATAGTCTTCCTCCATCCTAAGGATACTATTATAGTCAGCTTTAAGGGTGGTTTCTAATTGACTTAGGAATTTGCTATAACCATAAGAGGTAGAATTTTGAATCCCATTAAGTCTGGCCAAAATTTGCTTTTTCCTTTTAAAAAGATCGTCAAATGTATTTTTGTTCCAGTCAGTTATACGATATTTGAAAATGTTAGAGGCCTCAATAAAACTATTGTTGTGCCAGCATTCTTCCACTATGTTCCTAAACTCTGGATGCCCACTCCAATAGCTTTCTAATCTGAAAGGTTTGGGGAGACGATTATCTACTTTGCGGATTAACTTTATTAGAATAGGGTTGTGGTCAGAATGCGTCTTAGGTAGATGAATGATGGATGCCTTGGGAAGTAGCCCCACCTATTTTTCATTGGCAAAGATTTTGTCCAGTCTTTCCACTATACGATAACTAATATTTTTACGGTGGTTTGACCATGTATATTTACAGCCTTTAAAACCTAAATCCATTAGTTTGCAATAGTTTATTTTTGACCAAATTTTTGCAGCTCTTCTCCTGTTTATAGGGTTCCCTCCCCATTTATCATTTGCAACTAGCACATCATTTAAGTCCCCCCTAGAAGCCATGCATCTTTGTAATTATCAAAAATATTAGATATACTGTCCCACATGATATTTCTATTAGAGATGAGTGAGCTAGCATATATAGTGGAAAATAACCAATTATGTCGGATAGGAGGTACCTCTATCAGAGCATAGATCTCGTTGTTTCTTTTGACGAAGTTGTTAACAGTCACAAGATTGTTTCCCATAGAACTGCCATACCCCCTGATTGACCCTCAGCTGGGACTTCAATCATGTCGGAGAAACTAAATTCATGCATAATGCTGCCATGGTTAGTCATCCTAGTCTCAAGTAACGCTTGGATGATGAGTAGCTATGAGTTCATGTAAATTCCTTCTAAATTCATCATTGTTACCCCCCCCCCCCATATTCTAAATAATAAAGTTCTTAGCACGATTCATAGCTTGGGGTAGGGGTTGAAGATGGCCATTCATCTGACTTCCCTGGGGGAAAATTGGGTTCCTCCCTAGGGATGGTACCAGTATCATTGCAATCTTCCCCACTGTTGGATCCTGTGGTGGGCGCATGTCCATTGTGAACTTGAATAGTGAAGCTGGACAAGCTAGTATGAGCTTCTTCTCCCGCATTTCCTCGAATAGATAGACTTTTACTTCGTCTAGGTTTGTGGATTCCACCAAGTATTCCCCCACTAAGTTGAAT